CAGTGGTATTTCTACATTTCTCTACAATTGATATATTGATTACTATTTTAACAGTGGTATTTCTACATTTCCTTACAACTGGTGTATTGAGCTCTATTTTAACAGTGGTATTTCTACATTGCTCTACAATTGATGTAATGAGCACTATTATAACAGTGGTATTTCTATATTGCTCTACTATTGATGTATTGAGCACTATTTTAACAGTGGTATTTCTACATTTCTCTACAATTGATGTATTGAGCACTATTTTAACAGTGGTATTTCTATATCACTCTACAATTGATGTATTGACCCCTTTTTTAACAGTGATATTTCTATATAGCTCTACAATTGATGTATTGAGTACTATTTTAACAGTGGTATTTCTATATAGCTCTACAATTGATGTATTGAGCACTATTTTAACAGTGGTATTTCTATATCACTCTACAATTGATGTATTGAACACTATTTTAACAGTAGTATTTCTATAATGCTCTACAATTGATGTATTGAGCTCTATTTTAACAGTGGTATTTCTACATTGCTCTACAATTGATGTATTGAGCACTATTTTAACAGTGGTATTTCTATATAGCTCTACAATTGATGTACTGAACACTATTTTAACAGTGATAGTTCTATATCACTCTACAATTGTTGTAAAGAGCGCTATTATAACAGTGGTATTTCTATATCACTCTACAATTGATGTACTGAACACTATTTTAACAGTGGTATTTCTATATGGCTCTACAATTGATGTATTAAAGCACTATTTCAACAGTGGTATTTCTATATCGCTCTACAATTGATGTATTGAGTACTATTTTAACAGTGGTATTTCTATATCGCTCTACAATTGATGTATTGAGTACTATTTAACAGTGGTATTTCTATATAGCTCTACAATTGATGTATTGAGCACTATTTTAACAGTGGTATTTCTATATCACTTTACAATTGATGTATTGAGCTCTATTTTAACAGTGGTATTTCTATATTTCTCTACAATTGATGTATTGAGCACTATTTTAACAGTGGTATTTCTATATTTCTCTACAATTGATGTATTGAGCACTATTTTAACAGTGGTATTTCTATATTGCTCTACTATTGATGTATTGAGCTCTAATTTAACAGTGGTATTTCTATGTTGCTCTACAATTGATGTATTGAGCATTATTTTAACAGTGGTATTTCTATATTGCTCTACAATTGATGTATTGAGCTGTATTTTAACAGTGGTATTTCTCTGTTGCTCTACAATTGATGTATTGAGCACTATTTTAACAGTGGTATTTCTATATTTCTCTACAATTGATGTATTGAACACTATTTTAACAGTGGTATTTCTATATCACTCTACAATTGATGTATTGAGCACTATTTTAACAGTGGTATTTCTATATTGATCTACAAATGATGTATTGAGCACTACTTTAACAGTGGTATTTCCATATTGCTCTACAATTGATGTATTAAGCACTATTTTAACAGTGGTATTTCTACATTTCTCTACAATTGATGTTTTAAGCACTATTTTAACAGTGGTATTTCTATATCGCTCTACAATTGATGTATTGAGCACTATTTTAACAGTGGTATTTCTATATCGCTCTACAATTGATGTATTGAGCACTATTTTAACAGTGGTATTTCTATATCACTCTACAATTGATGTATTGAGCACTATTTTAACAGTTAAAATATTTTGTAGAATAAAAGAAGAAACAAGTATTACCTGGAGTCCCAAGGTTCCGTCTTTTTCAAACATAACTTACATTCTTCTATTACTAAAAATAGAATTAAGAGCACTAACATAAATAATCGTTCCTTACTTTTTCTTCAAATCTGTTTCCATCACAGACAAAAATATGTGCAACAGCATCCCTCCACTTCAAACAGCTGTTTTGTTGATAGATTTTGTTATATATAAAATGTTTCAACATTTTGTGTCCAAAGCACACCCTCAGGCTGTGGTAATACAAGTAAGGGAAATTAAATATTCATAGCTTAATATTTTCCAATAAAATTTGGCCTTAAAATCTTACTTGAAATTCTCAGGCAATGAAATCACTTGTTATAGATTCTTTTAAATTTGTGGAAAATATTTTTCAACAACTTACAGCATTCAATATCTGGAATACTGTTGTTATGGTTATCATTAGTAATGAATTTACTGGCATTGTCCTTTTTATAAGATTCTACCTAAAATAATATATAATTTACAATATAAAAAATAATCAAATAAAAACATTATACTGTCATCATGTCAACATATGTTTAATTTGGTCACAGTAATACGGTCACACGGTAATTTGGTCTCAGTAATAAGGTCACATGGTAATTTGGTCACAGTAAAAAGGTCACATGGTAATTTGGTCTCAGTAATAAGATCACACGGTAATTTGGTCTCAGTAATAAGGTCACACGGTAATTTGGTCACAGTAAAAATGTCAAACAGTAATTTGGTCACAGTAATAAGGTCAAACAGTAATTTGGTCATAGTCATACAGTAAATTGGTCACAGTAAAGGTTACAGGGTAATTTGGTCACAGTAATAAGGTAAAAACGGTAATTTGGTCATAGTCATACAGTAAATTAGTCACAGTAAAGGTCACACAATAGTTTGGTCACAGTAAAAATGTCAAACCATAATTTGGCCACAGTAATAAGGTCAAACGGTAATTTGATCACAGTAATAAGTTCAAACAGTAATTTGGTCATAGTCATGTGGTAATTTGGTCACAGTAAAAAGGTCACATGGTAATTTGGTCACAGTAAAAAGGTCACAGTAATAAGGTCAAACGGTAATTTGGTCACAGTAATAAGGTCAAATGGTAATTTGGTCATACGGTAATTTGGTCAGTCAAAAGGTCACACGGTAATTTGGTCACAGTAATTTGGTCATAGTCATATGGTCACATTGTAATTTAGTCACAGTAAAAAAGTCACACGCTAGTAGTTGATATACAGCTAGATTCAATAAATGGTGAAGGACGGTTACTGTCGCAACTTCAGTCGGTTCGTTTCCTTGACCTTGACATCCGATGATCAAGTCATATCGTTAAGTTTGTCTCTTCATCTCCATGAGGCTCTTACACAAAATTGGGCATGTGGGCATTATGCCACGTGGTTCCGGTAGAGGGCTAATTGCTCTGTCCAACGATGCAAGGAAATTGATCCCAATTTTAAAATTTTTCCTAGGGGAAGCCCCTGAATACCAAAAAAACCGTGACCGTATTACTGTGACCAAATTACCGTGTGACCTTTTTACTGTGACTAAATTACCATGTGACCGTATTACCGTGACCGAATTACCATGTGACTGTATTACTGAGACCAAATTACCATGTGACCTTTTTACTGTGACCAAATTACCGTGTGACCATATTACCATGACCAAATTACCATGTGACCTTTTTACTGTGACCAAATTACCATGTGACCTTTTTACTGTGATCAAATTACCATGTGACCTTTCTACTGTGACCAAATTACCGTGTGACTGTATTACCGTGACCAAATTACCGTGTGACTGTATTACTGAGACCAAATTACCATGTGACCTTTTTACTGTGACCAAATTACCGTGTGACCGTATTACCATGACCAAATTACCATGTGACCTTTTTACTGTGACCAAATTACCATGTGACCTTTTTACTGTGATCAAATTACCATGTGACCTTTTTACTGTGACCAAATTACCGTGTGACCGTATTACCGTGACCAAATTACCGTGTGACTGTATTACTGAGACCAAATTACCGTGTGATCTTTTTACTGTGACCAAATTACAGTGTGACCGTATTACCGTGACCAAATTACCGTGTGACTGTCTTCCTGAGACTAAATTACCCTATTACAATTTTACTGTGACCAAACTACTGTGTGACCATATTACTGTGTGACCGTATGACTATGACCAAATTACCGTGTGACCTTTTTACTGTGACCAAATTTCCTGTGACCTAATAACATACATTCAGTTCTAATATCAGTGAATTTGTGAAAATCTGGTGATCCTTCCTCATTTCAATGGACCCAGCTGTAAATGTGTTGGTTAATGCCAAGAGGTTTGGTCAAGACCAACAGGTAGAAAAGAACCACTGTGAACATAAGTTGTTATCCTTGTAAAAAATGGTCACATCACATCAAAATGAGGAACATCTGGAAACCCTCCTTCATATCTAAGAGCAATGTTAGAACTTAAAGGGGCATTCTGCTTTAATTTCATCGTGTAAACTGGGTTTATTATGTATGATATTATATGTATATCCTTTGTATAGTTTCTATACGTTGACCTGGCAACAGAGAAGCCATACACAAAATCAAATTTTAGAGTTAAAAATACATGACGTAATTTTCGAACTATGGACCTACAACTATTCACTTAAGGACGTACGTTTGTGAAATCGCTGCTGATTTGTGGTCCAATCAGAATTCATTTCTTATAATCAAATATCAAATATCAAATCAAATATTGGCTAGTACAGTAAAAATTACTTTATTAAGTTAAAAATTTCATGAAAGGTGAGGGGCATCTTCCTCTATATGTTGGCATGCAGTTTGATGTATTTCACACTCCAAACCACAACAAACAATTGATAAAGCAGGATTCCCCTTTAAAGAATGCAAACTTGGGCTTTACTCTCTGTACAGCCCAATAATTTTACCAGTTTGAAAGCTGGAGAGAATGAAAACATGTACAGGGCATGTTCAAGTAGAGGGCAATTTCAGATAAATTTCCATCATTGAACTGAAAGAATGCAAATTATGAGAACTCTCTCGACAGGAGTTTTCACAAGAGCAGAATATTCCTACCTGTTTGAAAGCTTTACAGAATGATTGTACAGGGCAAGTTGAACAGGAAGGAGATTTCGGAGTACAGATTGTGGCACCTAGTTCCATCATCGACTGATTGAAATCTCCAGGACGGTCTGCAGGAACCAATTTATTAGCATGATTCCTGAAAATAGTTGAAGGAAAGAAAAATGAATTAAAGCCAAGTATGATCTGTCCTGCATCAAAAATATCACAATTGCATAAAAGCAAATAAAAAAAATCTGATCAAAATTTTCCTCACAAAAATGTCCTCTGAATTTCGAAAAGGAACTGCAAAGTACCATGTCCATGATTTAAGTATTTTTCAATTAAAAAGTTCAGCTTGATGAAATTTCTGGAGTGGTTGCTCACCAAAACGTATCGATAGCTGTTTGACTGGTACTGTCTGTACCAATAATACGTAATCTAGAAAGAACTCGGATAACATTTCCATCAACTAATCCAGTCTGTTCATTGTAAGCTATCGATGATATGGCGCCAGCAGTATATCTTCCAACTCCTGGTAATTTTTTCATCAGACTTTCAGCATTTCGTGGCATCTCACTCTTCAATTCATTGACAACCTGAATTATATAGATTTATCTTTTAGAATCACATCCAGCTTATTACATTTACAATTTAAGACTGGGCATTCTCATCTTTTTGGGATTTTCAACCTTCTTCCAGACCCAAATCAACCTCCCTTAATCTAGGCTAATGCTACTGCCAGGGGAAATTTTGCCGGCATTCTACATGGGGTTACTCATGAGCCTAGACAGATATATAAAAAAGTAGGATTCTCAATTTCTTTTTATTGCTTTTAATGTCTTGTAGCATTGATGTGCCACAAATGTTTTAATAAAATTTGAACTTAAGACACCAGACCATGCTGGTGAAGGGCAATTCAAATTAAATACTGACCTTCTGTGCTCCTTCGTGAAGCCTTCTTCCTCTTGAATAATAACCTAGCCCAGACCACATTTCATTAACTTCCTGAAATATACACCACAATTTATTCTGGATGCTTAAATCAGACCACAATATTCATAATCTCTGCTAATATTCTTAAAATGTTTTAAACAAGAGTAAAAATAACAATTCTTGGGTTCACAAAGATCCTTTTGTACCGTGGCAAAACCACTAGGCATTATCTTCATAGATTACCTGTAGCCGTAGGGGCCTAATTCTTGAAAACTTTACTTACAGGGCTAGACCGGTTTATTTTCAATGTAAAGAATTATGCCAATTATGCGTGAAACTATTTTGAAGACCTCAGAGACAGTCAAAGACTCTCAGTTCTATTGTAAATTCGATATTTCATTTCATTTAAAATAAGACAGGTAACTTTTGATTCAGAAACCACATTGGTCAAACGGTTATCTACAAAATATATTGACTGTGAAATAACATACCTCAAGACTGGCTTTAGCTAAATCCTGTAATGTCGGCCATTTCTGAAATGTGACAGACACATTCATCAGAATTGTTCTTACCTTGAGGAGGATTCAAATCCACAGTGGCTAATCACCTAGCAACCGACAATTCAACTTTTTCACTGCCACAAAAAACAGTGTTTCAAACGAGTGTTAGTACAGTTAGTTATTAAGGGGGTGAGAGCCAACAACGGGAAGACTCTGGGAAGTAAGGCATAGAGCTGAGCTATCTTGCCTAACCATAGCTTAATCTAACATAGAATATTCAATATTGATAATGACAAAGTCTCTCAGAAATCTTTCAAACAAGTGGACTCAAAATGAAAAACTTGCTTGATTCAATTTAAATTGAACAATTTTTTGGCTAATTAAACAGAAATTATATTAGAATTTTATACAATTGGGCAGAAATTCAAAAATGTCCCACTTGCAGACTTCTTGTCAATGATCTTAGTTCCTTAAGATTCAAGAGACCACTGAGGGTTGCAGCATATTTCTACAAATAGCAGAACATTTTTACAGAAAATATACAATTTGATTTGAGTAGCATATCACTGTAGAGATCAAAATGTTGTTTAATCAAAGGAAATAAGGCCATTTTGATTTGCAAATGATGACGTGATACGGCTTAAGTTGAAAGATACCTTGTCTATATCTTAACTTCGTATGTCAAGCTATTACAAACCTGTACTTATATCGTGGCTGTAATAGTCCCCTTTCTTGTATCACAGAATACAGCGAATTGATAGGATCATAGACTAGCGAATACAGCCAATCAGCACCCTTGACAGAAAATCAGTATAGTTTTGTGTTCACAGGCCTCTGATTGGCTGTATTCGATAGTGTACATTCCAATCAAATCGATCCATTTACAATCTTCCATGATACAAGAAAGGTGACTATTGCAGTAAAGGTATAAATTCATATTAGCTTGACATTGTGAAGATGACAGTGTACTCTGTTTACAGCTATGTTTAAACATTTTACAGAATTTACTGCACACCATTTTAAGCTTCTGTTCACGTACCTTAATCCATTTATTATAGTAATTTATGACAGTAGCAACTTGAGTCTGCTGTAACATAATTTCTGATACCCATACTGAAAATAAATTACCTAAGAATATATTTCACCATTATAGATACTCAATCGGGTTAACACAGGCATCTGTTTCTATCAATAGTCGACCGTCTCTATAATAGTATATATAGTCGACTATAGATAGAAACAGATACTCAAGCCGAGTTAAGCTATGATAACACGCGTACGTAAGCGCAACTCAAACTGAAAATATGCAAGTATAGTAAGATGATTCTGAAAAAATTGTCAATGTTTAAAGGAAACTTAGCGGTATTGGCGCATTTAACGAAAGGAGGAGAAGAAAGTCCCCTATGGTAATGATGTCATAAAGGGGATTCTCATATTCTAGCACCTTGGGAATGCAAATAATTGCTCAATGATTCCTCTATTTTAGCACCTCAATGAGCCATCTGTTGCCCTTATAGAGGTGAGTTTGAGGTAAGGAGAAAACTGGATTTGCTAAGGATTAGGATAAGATTTTCTGTGGTTTGAGTTTGCGTACATATTTTATTGCAGCTTAATCCGTGGGTATTCAGAATCTGATAGCAATTTAATTCATGGCCTACTTCACCCTTTTATAATAAAGTCATTTTAATTATAATTTTTATTTTTATAGTTTAGATAAGAGTAATCAACCCAACAATGAATGTACTAAGAGTCTAATTCTTACTCTTTTTTACATTAACGTTCAAAATTTTTAAAGATAACCCACCCCTAATTTATAACTGAGATGAGGCTGACCATATACCTACCTGAATACGCCCGTTTATTTATGTCTTGATGCTTGGACTGAAAAAAATACAGAATTTCTTTTAAAAGCTCATCTATTCAAATATTGTACATCAACTTGCAGGGACACCTTCACCATCTGTTCAACCAATCATACCAGAGTCTTAGAATTTAAAAGCTAAGCTAATAAGTAGTAGAGTTCACAGCTCATTGTTGAAATTTTAGCCATTAAATCCAGAAGAGCACAGATAATAATAACTTAGAACATTAAGTCAAAAATACACAGGCTTCATGCACATGCCACTGCAAATTTCCGTCATTGCACACAGGTTGGATTTATCCATCTACTTACTTCATTAGTTCAATGAGATGCACAAAAGCGGGGATATTACACTCTATTTCTATTACATAACCTCAACATACATATATAGCCTCTGATGGTTTTTTTTGGGAGCCGCGGTGACTCAGTAAGTTAGAAGGTCCAGGGTTCAATCCCGGCATAGGTAGAGATAATACCTACAGATTTTTCGACCCGGTTTCCCCCTGTCAGTGATGCAGGTAAGAGGGGCTGACATGGAAAAAGCGTCTAATCATTCGGATGGGACAATAAACCGAGGCCCCTTGTGCTACAGACTGTGCACGTAAAAGATCCCTCGACAGTTGCAAATCGAAAAAGAGCAGGCTAATGCCGCTGTCCTGGCAAAATTTCCCTTATCGCACCCTGCATGCGTTGCCCGTCTTCATTAGCCCACATGGTACAGAAAAGTAGGACGTAAAACTCCATTCATTTCATTTCTGATGGTTTTTTTTAAACAAAGTATCGGTGACTGAGAGTCAATACACTTGAGCTATCTTCTCTAGCTATGAAAACTTTAAAAGAAGCACTAAAAGTCTTAAATTAATTTTTAGATTTTAAAGATGGTTTTACCAATTTTCTCCAAGGCAGATCTCTTTGGTTTTCTTGGTACCAAGTCACCATGGCGTTCTGAAGTTCTATGATTTCTTTTTCAGTAAAATCATGAACTGGTGGAATTTTTAACTTGGCACTTTTGTCTGCAGAATAAAACCCATCTGTTAAGAACATAAAAGTTGAGACCAAACATATTTATTCTAATACAAGCCATACTTACTAAAACATGAACTGACCAAGAAACGAACGAAGAAAACTACCAGGAACCAAGCAGTAGTACACTAAACCAAAACAACTGCCTCTATTCCAGCTCCTGATAGCTATTACGAAAGAAACAAACAGAAAATTCCCCACAGAAGAGGGCCTACAGCCAACAACACCTGTCAAAATATCTATCCGCGGCAGGGGCAGGGGCAGGATCAGAGGCATATGAGGTCTACCAGCACACTTGTATGTTGACTACAATTTTTGCAGGTTTGGACAGCTTTTATTCCCATATTTGCAATGATTATTAGGGACATGATGTTAGTAACCCAGCTTTCTACCAAATCTCACATCAACAGCTCCAGCTGATTGAAGGCAGGGCGAAGCACAACAGTGCCCAATTAAAAAGTAAGTAAATATTGTATTATGTACCTAGATAACAAGTTTGTATTTCCCGCTGTATGACGTCATCACTATGGACACGTGATTATGATCAATCTCATGCTTAAGGCTTGCCAAATGGCCTACTGTCTGTAAATGTATCACTGATATTAAACCATTTAAACTATTGCTTACATTCTATATTATGAGTAAACAACATAATAAAACAGTAAATGCTGTAATTCCCAAGCAGGGTGTCAAATCTTATCCGATCCACAGCAGAATTATTTAGTAGATTGACATCCAGATCAAAATCTAATTATCAAGGCTCACCTTCGATCAAAGTAATCTGCTTGGACTGCAATTTTGTTTTTCGTTTCACCATAATTTCAACAAACCAAATGACAAATTTGGACAGAATAATTTTAATATTGAATATGAACCAGCTTCAAAATACTAACGTTGTATTTGTTTACCATTGAATACCAAACCCGCGGTTTTGACTGAGTGACTTATTATTATCAAAATACAATATTCAATATTTTCTGTTTCGAATCACTTTATTTTTCTGGGTTGACAGATAACTTGCATTATGGTAAAAAAAATTGTGGTCAACCATTTCAAAATGTCTATAATTTTCAAATTCAATCTTATAAACTGATTAATTTGCGTTTCAATAAGTTTTATGAGTACTCCCAAAATACCTGTCAAAAGGTGAAGGTCGAGTATGTTTTAAATGTAGAAATGTTTTGTAATCCGAAAGCTTCTTGTTTGTCAAGTGTTTGGGATGCGATGGGAGATCCGATGAAGAACGATGTGATGTTTCTAAAATATTTATTCGATGAACATGAACGATGACAACATGGCGATGACAAATGATGATGTGGCAGTGTGGAGCAGGCGGAAGTCCAGTTTCGTTGTCTTGGATATCGTTCACGAATATTACAGGTAGTCCGAAACACCGATCCCGAACATCAAGTCATTGCGTAAAGATTTATCGATTTTTATATCCTCGTGATAACTTTATGTTAATATGATTGTTTTATAACCGTTTGAATAAAATATGTCAGACTAGGCTTATCTAGAAAATGCCCGAGGAGGTGGCCAAAATGAGAGGTGTCTCTCCGAGGCGAGGTCCCTTGAGGTCAGGTGCCTGAGATGAATTTTGAGGCTGTTGTATACAAGCTGTTCAAAAAGCCAAGCGCAGACGACCTAAAGATAGATGTCAGGCAAGGTAATATATTTTGAATATAAATATTTGGTATTACAGTAACAATCACCAGTATGAATATTCAACCTTTAGCCATACACTAGTTTTCTTTTGAACTTTTTGGGTCTTTTAGAGTGTTTACAGGCTAAAACTTGAACGCGTTTTTAGGAACAAGAGCAATAACCCATACTAAGTCTTTTTTCCAATTTTTCTGATTTTCGATAGCGTTTATCCTTGGGTGATAACAAACACTCACACCAATTTCGTCCAAATCCGTCAAGAATAGTGCCTCCTAGTGTTTATGAGCAATTGTGGGCGGGCGGACGGACGGACGGACATGGGTGCCGTCAATAAATGAAAATTCAAAATTGATGCTCATTGATTTTTCGAAAACATGAAGCAACCAATGAAAGCTAAAGATAGATGTGGTGTCACAACTCTTCTCAATCCACCAACAGATACTCACCTTATTCACCAACAACAATATTTATTTTAATGACCCTTTATTCAATGCCGACAAAAAACCCTTAAAATATCCCAGTCTACCAAGCTGTAAATGGGTTCTTAAAAAGTTTATCTTGCTTTTCTATCTAATCAAAATCAATCAATAACCCTAACCCAGGCAGAGTTGTCCGCTCTTGCCCATTAACCGGGCAAAATGTCACCCTTTCATTGCCAGTAGTGTTCAACTGGCGGAAACTAACGAGAATTGTCGAAGTTATAGAAAGCTGTACCATTAATGAGTCATCAATGGTATGGCCAGATTGGTCGGGCTACTCCTGGTCGTAATAAAGTCCACTGAACCGAGTCTAATAACTTGAGCCGTTTTTTTGTGTACACAGAGAGGGTTTTCTTTTCACGAATAGTCCACATTTGCTTGACGATTTGAAGAAGAATTATTGGTAGCCTACTCTAAACATAGTTCAAAGTATTCATATGTCATAGATATACGATTTGATATGTCTCATTAAAACAACTTCTGTCTACTAACTGTATATATTAGACATGTCTTGTGAAACTGACTCATCGATAATTACACGTTTTAACCTACAGAATATATATACATAGTTAGTCCCAAACATCTGTTTCTATTCCATCCGACAACTGTCAAAATAGCTATTAGAGGTTAAAATAGAGGCAGATGTTCCGACTATGTTAAATAATAAAAAAAACTCTTTAATTGATATGGATCAGAATTAAGTCTAATACGCAATGACATGGTCCCATCTAACATTCAGTATGCACTATGTCAAATAGACTTACAGGTGTCTATTGCCATCTTTAATTCATTTTTAAACAAGTAATATAAATTTCATTCTTTAATGTTGCCACACTGAACCTTTTCTGTTATATCAGATATTTGATCAATTCCAGATATATTAACTGTAAGACAGATACTCACCTTTTCCAAGTCTGAGTCTTGTTGTAGCTAATAACCTATTAACTGTCGTAGTTTTGCTAATACTCAGTATCACACAGTGTTAAGAAATCGCATCTCTAATGAGAAACTCATGACTGCATGCAAAGGTGGAGCCAAAGGGGGGCAGAGGTGGCAGCCACCCAGGTGATAATTCAATAATATTTCATTGAAAACTTGAATTTCCACCCGGGGGAATTTTTAATTCAAAATTATGTTTTATAATTATATATGTTGTCGTATACGAACCACCGTACATAATCTTTTTAACTCATTATAATCTCTACTAATTAATAGTATTATTTAAAATCGATTTCTCAAATTTTGATAACATTTTATTATTTTATATATTTATTTAAAGCTGTTAAAAAGTGCATTATGAATCTGTTCGAATTCTATCGCTAAGTTAATCAGAACTCAATCAAGAGTCAAAGATTAAAATCACCGAAAATCGAAAGCTGAAATTGAAAAAAAGGCCTTCTGGGTATTTTTCTTACTTACATTTTAAACAAGTTTAAGAACAATCGGATTAAAAATGTAGTCTGCATTAAATTTTTAAGATTTTTTGAAATTTTCAAGATGGCAGCTAAACTATTAGTAACTGTTAGATACAAAATGAAGATGTTGATGGTATAAATCTTTTGAATTACAAATTTGACAGTTTTTGCAAAACATAGTCCAAAAACTCTGATTTTTCAGATATTTTCAACCATTTTCCGAAATATTTTGGAAAATGTTTTTGAATAATCATAATTATCAATTTGGTCTCTACGCATCTACCAAGTTTCGTAAAAATCGAGTAAAAATTAAAGGACTTAGAATTTTAACCAAAATTCAGTACAAAAAGGATTTTCTAAACTGCAGTCTCCCTGGAAGTTCTTTCAAAAATACACACAAAAACTTTGACGCAAATAGAACAAACAATAAGCGTTTATGGCAGATTTCTGAAATTCAAAAGTTTTCTGCTACATCATTTACGGTTTCTAGTCTGATGTCTGAAAATAAATATAAATGTAATTCCGCGGTCTGAAATGTCTGCTGCAATGCCAAAAATGTTCTAACTATTACAGTTTTTGCTAGGTACTCTGACAACAATTATAAAAAAAAAAAAAAAATTAACGAAAACAATACAGTTTCGAGCTCAACTCGAAAGCCGTGAATATCGACAACTCATTAACTGTTTCCGCTCGATGTAACAAATTAACCCACTCTGTCTCTCATTCTCTATATAAACTCACACAATCTTCACTGTTCATACAACTCGAATATCGAATCAATATGATGGTCAATGCTAATTTGATGTTGATGGTGGTCTTTCTGTGGGCTGGAACATTACCAGTGGCCAGTCCCAAGAATTACCCCTTCATGTTAAAAAGACAAACACCAGGTAAGTATAGTAGAGATTGCTGTGATTGAAGAGGACTGGGAAACAATTCTTTATAAAATGTCAGTAGTAACTTTTCTTCTTTGTTATTTCAGAAAGATATGTCTGATAAAAATGCTGTTTTAAGATTTTTATTTTAGGTCTAAGATTCAAAATGTGAAATAACCTTTCAAAATTACCTTCATTATTCTAGTTTACTAAATATTATATAATATATCAATAGTAATTCAATCAATTTTTTTATGTGTATAACATCAATTTGTCCCCGATATACAAAACCAAATTTAGAAAACCTCTTTACCAGCTCTCAATCTCTATGACTAAGCACAAATTAGCAAATCGTGGCCTAATTTCTACTGTGGTTTAGAACCTATTAACTTGTTTTGGAAATTATAAATAAAAGAACTTTATGTTAACACCTATCTTATTTTGTGTAGATTGTGAGAAGTACGTTCTGCCAATAAATGCAATGTGGGAACCGACATGTGACGAAAATAAACGATACAAGTGCAAAAAAGGATATGAATCAATAGTTCAGACCACCTGTGAAAACGGTGGCTGGACTTTGGAACCAGCTTGTGAAGGTAAGCAGTTGTGTATTTACAGAGTGGGCCCTCGGGCAGTGGAATTTCTTATTTTGAAGTAAGAATTAAGCCCACTAAATATATCGCGGGCCATCTGAAATCAGCTGGCTTCTTGTGGGTTCTGAATTGGAATCAACATCAAAGGGTGGCTTCGAGAATTTCGGGAATAATAATTTATTGCCTGATAAATTTTATTTACTATCTCAGCTTTAGAGTGTCCACAAGGTGGAATGATTGCTAACTTTGATGATGTAACAGATCCAGAAGAATTGATGAAGATTTCCATTTTAAATGTTCAACTGGCTACACACATAGCTTGCCATATAAACCATCTTTCTGAATTAACTTTAGAATAATTTCACCCAACTCTACTGACAAATTCATTTTAACATTTTAGCTGTAGGGTGTCCACAAGGTGAGATTATCACTCTCTCTGATGATGTAACAGAATCCAGTATTGTTGGAGGACTTTTTCATTTTAGCTGCTCTGTTGGCTTCGTTGAAACTGGTACTCTGAGGTGTGAGGAAAATGGTACTTGGACAGAACAGAAAGCTTGTCAAGGTAACAGATTTGGGGTTTCTATTGTGAATAGGTACGAAGATATTTGAGCGATCCAGTGACAATTTAAAACATAAAGTAAACTATTCATTACCGTGTCAGATTCAGCTTTCGGAAACTGCCGAGGATTGCCGAATGTAAAGAACACACACGCCAAAAAGATTGTTTTGATTGGTTTAATATCACGCGTTACACAATGTATTATTAGGGTTGACTAGCAATGAGTGTCAGAACAGGTACGAATAGAATATTTTAAGGGGTCAATTAACACCTTGGCTACTTGAAATTAAATGTCTGTTGTCATTGCTAATGTAGCATCTACATCTAAGGGTAGTATATTAGATAATACTACGTAGCCTTTTAACACCTTTAGTCCTTGACAATAATACCTCTTTGTTCTGACCAACAAATTCAGCTTATACTTATCAAGTATTATAAAAGATTATGCATTGTGTTCCTATGTCAACAAATGTCAACATTCTCATGGTCAGCCCCTCGACCAATCAACGCCCTTCTTGCATTAGCTTTATCCAATCAGGTTTCAAGGATATGGACGCTTAGGTTTCAACCAATCAGAATATAGTTCATATGTTTGAGTCTGACAAAAGGGAATTGTACCTGATTCGAGGGAGATCTAGGAGAGATCGAAGGGGGATCTAGGTAGAACTCTAGTTAAAGAGAGTCCAGTTTCCCGCTGGGCCCCGCCCTTTTTCTCTCGGGATGATAGAGTTTAGATGTTCCTGTATTTTACCGTTATTGATGTTCCTATATTTTACCCGTATTGATGTTCCTGTATTTTACCTGTATTGATGTTCGTGTATTTTACCTGTATTGATGTTCCTGTATTTTACCTGTATTGATGTTCCTGTATTTTACCCGCATTGATGTTCCTGTATTTTACCTGTATTGATGTTCCTGTATTTTACCTGTATTGATGTTCGTGTATTTTACCTGTATTGATGTTCCTGTATTTTACCTGTATTGATGTTCCTGTATTTTACCCGCATTGATGTTCCTGTATTTTACCTGTATTGATGTTCCTGTATTTTACCTGTATTGATGTTCCTGTATTTTACCCGCATTGATGTTCCTGTATTTTACCTGTATTGATGTTCCTGTATTTTACCTGTATTGATGTTCCTGTATTTTACCCGCATTGATGTTCCTGTATTTTACCTGTATTGATGTTCCTGTATTTTACCTGTATTGATGTTCGTGTATTTTACCTGTATTGATGTTCGTGTATTTTACCTGTATTGATGTTCCTCTGTTGTACCTGTATTGATGTTTATTGTTCCTGATGTTGTCCTTTCCGAATAAATGGTATTCAAACCTTCAAAGCCGTTACGTCATTATATGTAATACACGGCCTTGTGCGAAGCTATTTGAGTAAATCCATCTGTTTTATGAAAATAAAAGTAATTAATCCATAAGGGGGCTTGGTTTTATCGACTTTTGTAAGATGCGTCAGTCAAATCATATTCTCGTTTCGAACCAATAA